TTTCTGATTAATCGGATGCCCACGTTCATCCTTGAAGGTCATTCTCCGTTTCAGGTCTTGTTTCCCGCTTTGTCTCTGTTTCCTCTTACGCCGAGGGTATTTGGGTGTGTCTGCTTCGTCCATAATCTGGGTCCCGGGAATGACAAGTTCAATGCCCATTCTCTTAAGTGCATCTTCCTTGGCTATTCTCGGACCCAGAAAGGGTATCGGTGTTACCATCCTAGTTCTTGACGGTCCTTTGTGTGTGCTGATGTCACCTTCTTTGAGTCTACTCCGTTCTTTTTGGGGTCCGGTGATGCTTCTTCCTCCTCATCACCTCCTCCTCTTCCACTTCCCATTGTTGACCCTCTTCCCTTGGTTCCAGYCRTGACCAAACCCTTGCCTCCGGTGCCACCACCTGTTGAACGCCCACCTATCCGTCATGTGTATACACATCGCCCACGCGTACCAACTACTACTCCTCCGGCTACATCTCCGTCGACGGATCCAGCACCAGACCCGCACTCAGCATCTGAGCTTGACCTTCCCATTGCTTTGCAGAAAGGTAAACGCACCTGCACCCTTCATCCTATTTCTAATTATGTTTCACTTACCTTTCTAATTATGGTTGGACGATATGAACAAGTCCTTTTTCAGAAAGTTTTGCCACTGCTCTTGCTTTACATGTGATGTGCACTCTGTTGGAGATCTATAGGTTGTGGGTATCTTGGTGAGACCTTAGGGATGTAACTTGGGTGAGCTTAGATTGGGCTTTTTGTCAAAATTTCAATGGGCACAGGCCCAAAGCAGTGCAAAATGCTACTGGAGCCAACCCAAGTTGTACCCCTGTGAGACATAAAGCTTATTGGATGTGACTTTTCCCACTTGGGTAGATTGTTTCTATTGGATCTATGTGTACAGATCTGTACAACCTATGTTCTTCTAAGCTGATCAGCAGTGATTATAAGACTTGTAGCAGGTGTGGTTTTGCTCTCCTGTTGCAGTACAGGTGTGTTTGTCCCTTATACTAGAGAAGTATAATGTTGTTGGTATAGGAAGCAAAGTGTCTGATCAAAATTCGTGAGGGAGAAGGGTTTAACTGGTCTATAACTTTCCATTTTTGGCCTTAGTAGTGTTGGTTTGTGAGTTGTTTACTTGCTGTTAACAGTACAAGTCTGTTGGGAACTTGGGAGGTGGTTGTTTGCTTGAGTGGTGGTTTACTGGTGTGTTGTGTGCTGTTAGCCTGTCTTGGTGATTAATTTTGTTCAGTTTTTGACTCTTAAACATGGCAAGTGAAGAATCTACTGCTTCTACTGTTACCAGAAAGACATTTAATGGCAGTAACCAAGGTGATAATATGGTGTTCCTGTATCCATTACCCCTCTAGATAGTCTAAATCATATAGAGTGGGCAAAGAGTTTTTTTTTTTTCTTTTGGTAATAAGATAAATTTTGTTAAAAGAAAAGGAATTACAAGTAAGGTAACCAGAAATCACCCGAGAGAAAAAAATAAAAAACCCCAAACCCCATCAAACTCCCAATCCAACAACCAAATATACAAGAGAAAAACACCAGCAACCAAACTCTCCAACCAAAGAAAAAACCAAACAGACAAAGCCAACCAAACAGATTTAAATAAAAAGAAAACAATAACAACCCCAACAAGACCTGCTAATTCAGCAACAGAAGAGAAAGGACCAAAACAAGGTGTTTCTACTTCTCATAAACTTTCCTGGATTTCATCACCTTCTTATGCAATCCAAGCCCAAATAGACTCCCTTTTAGTCTAGCAAAGATGTTTGACATTGTTAGAGTCATCTATTAGGGATAGTTTAGTCTTTACATTTGGTTTTATTAGAGGGTTCCAATTTGTCTAACTTAAATAATGTCCCATACTTAATTAGGGGCATAAGTGTCTTTGTACTTTGACTATGTTGAGAATGGTTAGACGGGTGTTTTTGGTCTTTTTCTCCTTTCTTATATTCTCTCAATATTTGGGCTCCCAGATAGGGGCCTTCTTGTAATTATTATTTTTCAAATTATAAAGTAAACTTTTGAGGGTGTGAACAATGAACGACACACACCTCTCGACACATTACACTCTTCTTCCTCTCCTTTTTCCTCTTCTTCTCTTCTCTTCTCTTCGTTCTTTCTCTCTTGAAACCCAAGTTTCTGCAACTTGGTATAGAGCGGGTAGAAGCTTTTGGGAGTTGGTTCTCTGCTAATCTCCTACCCAGAGGCAAACTGCTGACATCAGACCACCGTCGAATGGCATCAGCAGTCCGTACAAGTGTCAGCGGAAGTCTATGAAACCAGCACAATTTGATTCGCCCTGATTTTAGAAAAATTTTGGTATGACTCTTGTCATTATCTGAAGCTTCTATAATTTTTGGTGGATTTTTTAAGGAAAAAATCGCAGAAATCCCAGATCTGATGTCGAGCCATGTATAGCATGTTTAATGATTTTTTCTGTTGTAAAACCTAGACCATTCAAGTCGTTTTTCAATTTGGGATTGATGGGAAGTGGTCCCATAATTTTCTGAGCACTGTGTGATTTTTGAGAGATTTTTTTCTCCCTCTATTTTGCCACCAACCTAGTTTTTGGGTCATACTTTGGTTCTTAACCGTGTGGTAACCTAGTTTTTTTGGTCTGGAACCTCGATTAAAGTGTTGAGGGTCCTTTTTGGTTGGTGAAAAGGTGTCTTGTTAGAATATGGAATCATCTAAGGATTTTCGGATGGTTCCCGGCGTGTTCCCGAGAACTACAGATATTTCCAATGGTATGATAATTACTGTTAAATTAGATGGAACTAATTTTTTAGAGTGGTCTCAGTTTAATAAACTTACCATTACTGGGAGAGGTAAACTGGGATTCATCACAGGAAAGGAAGTGATGTGGCTCTCACTTAAGTGAGAGCACAATGGTAATCCTTGTATATCTTAGAAGAGTATAAATAAAAGAAGGGCCGACTAGAGGGATTTGATTTTTCTCTCTAGTTCGGTTGTGACCTTTTCTCCTTTTTCTTCTCTTTCTTCTTCTCCTTCTCTCTCTCTCTTTTCCTTCTCTTTCTTCTGATTTGAACATATACGAACATCTAATCTGAGTTTTATCAAGACCCAAAATTTGCAAGGTGGGAATAGGACAACTCCCTTGTTATGTCATGGCTGATTTGCTCAATGCAACCTCATATTGCCCGAAATTACATGTTCCTTCCATCTGCCAAGGATATCTAGGATAGAGTAATTGCTACTTATTCCCAAATTAACAATACTGCTAGAGTGTATCAGCTTTGGAGGGAAGTGCGTTAGGGGGAGAGATCTGTTGCTATGTATTTCTCTTCTTTGCAGTCTATTTGGGAAGAAAAGGAAACTTGAAAGCTCTAGTTTGGAGAAGCAAGAAACAATCGGTTGTTGCTCGGTCCTCTRCTGAAGHAKAATACARGGCCATGGCACATGGAGTTTCTGAATTATTATGGCTAAAATCATTGATGGAAGAACTTGGAGTTGAATATGACAAGCCAATGATGTTGTACTGTGATAATCAGGCTGCCATCAACATT